CCCTCCCTGTTTCAATGGCAGCCGAAAAGCAAGCAGCAAAACAGAGGCTGACATAGACCTTCTTCAGGATGTCTTATTCTTAGTGCAGTCCTTCAGGTCCATAAAAGTGCACCAATCAGTGAAATTATGACGCCTACCTAATTTGTCCTCTCCTCCTCTTTCTTTTTATCTTTCTGGTATACAGACTTTTCAAGACACCTAGCCTTTGCATAATATATAGAAAATATGTTAATTGGAACCTGGCAATTTGTGTTCTGAGTGAGAACTACGGATTGATTTGTTCTGTGATCAACATTTCTTTGTTTCCTTGATTCTCCATGACATAGTCAAGCCTTTTCAAAAAGTTCAGAAGCATTGGTACTGTTCTGTTCTGCTTCTTCAATGTCCAAATTTAATATTTATTGAGTGTTCAAAAGGAAATCCATTGTCTACATGATTCCAAACTTTGTAGAATTAGACATGTGACAGCATCTGAATATCTTTTCCAAGGCTATGATTGCATCACTGTTAGCACATTCACTCATAAATAAATGTCATTTGTGAGTGTCTATAATTGTTATTGCTGCTACTTAGAATCATCTTTGAATCATACCTAAGCCAGGTTCCACTCTCGCTTCTAACAAAAATAAATCCACTACTTTTATGAGTAATTGGTTTCACTGTGCTTGCCTTCAGAACTTTTTTATATCATGGCATTAGAATCTATATATAACTACCTGTTTACTTAAATCCATTATTTTTGCCCTGCACTCTGAAACAAGGAAGGATGCATTGACATTTTTCTATGTCATATCTTTGGACATATTTGAACAGTGCTAACTCTAACTTAACTTCATACAGCTAAACATATATCTTCTTTTTGTCTGCCTTCATATGATTTAATTTATAGTTTCCTGACCAATTTCACTGCCCTTCTCTGAACCCTTTTAAAAAGTATGGTGCCCAGAACTAGTTATAGCACTAGAGATGTCCAATGCACAATGAAGCAGAATAGTTATGCATTGTGATTTGGAAAATAAACATATACTGATGCAGCCTAAAATACATTTGCATTTCTTGCTTTCATATTACACTACACTACTGTCTCGTATTTACTTTTCAGTCAATATCTTTTTCATAAGTGTTAAATCCAAGCCAGGTATTTTGCATCATATATCTGTGCATTTGGTTTTATCAAATATTCACACAGTTTATTAACATTCATTATGTTATCAATCATCCCATTTCTTTAACTCATCAACATAATTTTCTCAACCAATTTTCTGTCAACTATATATTGGATAAAATTTTTCTTTCAGCTGTTTTTCCAAAGTGTTAATAAGATACCTGTGGTGGGTATCTGTGCTGGGTTTTCTATTGCCATAAAAAGAACAGAATATTTCCAATGATGGAACAAGTTGGAAGTTATCATTCCTTTTTTGTCTTGGCCCTGCAAACCTCTAAATCCTGAAAATCTGGTCTGTAGGATGTACAATATGAGAAGCACTGTTTGAAACTGTATGGGATTATAAATACAATAGACAAGTCTTGCTATCCATGTGGTGCATATTATAGGTTGGGGTTTTTTTTAAATTTCTTTGCCATTATTTTTCTTTGCCAGAAAATAATGTGCAGTTTTTTAACATTCTGCTTTGACAGGTGTTAGCAATTTGCTCCTTAATTTTAGATTTAAAAAATGGCAAGACTGTATCCATTTGTGTGATAAAGTATTATTTTAGTAAATCAGCATACTATTTGGTAATTAGTGGTGATTAAAACTACACGTAGTTCTTGATAAATAACCAGTTGTTTGAACACCTTTAGACATTATGAGGGACTTTTTAAAAAGTTACTTACAACTCATCGTTGAAATTGCAACTCTTCCACATAGGTCTGCAGCCATATGATTGCATTTTGGGTGCTTGGCAACTGGTTCCCAATTACAACAGGATAGTTGCAGCTTCCTGTAAAAAATGTCAAAAAAAATTAACAATTGAGGTGATTCACTTTACATCCATCATAAAAATGGTTGTAAAATTGAGTGCTTCAACTTTAGATTGCAATGATTTATGACCAAGATTCTGGGCTCCATTGGCATTGCAAGTCAAGGAATACCTGTAAGCCCATTCAGAAACCAACTGGGAGCAAGTAGAAGCACCTACAGGAGGGAGGTCAAACTTGTGGCATCACAACGGCATCATGTGATGTATCGGACTTTATCCCCCTTTGCTAAACCGGACAGGGGCAGAGGCAGCATGCGATGCATCCAGCCTGTGGGCCATGGGTTTGACACCCCTAACCTATAGGATTCCAAGTGGGAGAGAAGTTAACTAGAAATAATTAGTTAATACCTGTTACTCACTCAAAAACATCCACAGTATTGTTAGGGCAGAAAAGAACCTCATTGCCATCACAAATTATACAGAGTTTTCAAGATGTTCCTTCTTCTACATACTTTAAAACATATTTTTAAAAATGCCCTGTCATGATTAACAGCAACATCAAAAAGTTTTTAGTTATTATTTTTTCAATGTGTTTCTTGGAATCTCGTGTAATTTATTTCCTCATAAAACTTCCCCTTTCTGACCTAAATCCTGTTTTGTCAAACATGGCTTGATATGCAAGCCAGAAATGTGAAAATTGGAAATCTATGCCAACACCCAAAAGTGAAATAAAAAGATTTACCTTGGTCCTTTAATTCCCAGAGATAATCAATAAAGATTATTGTACCTTAGAAATATAAGCCAAACAGTGAAGATAACATTGCACTTGTTTTTACTTTTCATTATTGCTTCAGTTTTTTTTCTTTTTTACATGTTTTATGTGGTTGGAAAAAGTTCTGTTTAGGTCTTATCTATTATATGTGTAGGAATGAGAATTAAGCAAACTATACAAATGAAGTTTGAATACACTATAAGGACAAAGCAGTATTTCATGTTTCCATCGAGATGGTCCAAAATTAGTTAATGAACTGTAAACTTCCATAATGCTGGTTTTCAAAAATACCTTAAAAACCTAACGGAAGGGACGGTGATAGAATTCATTTAGAGGATGAGTGATTAAATGAGAAAGCTGTACTTAGCAGAGTCATGAATTTTATCCCTCTAAAACTTTATTACAGGTATCCTTGGTGTAGTTAAGTGAAATGTAATGAGACTGTGCCAACGTATGGCTGCGGTTGTTAAGTGAATCACTGTAGGCCATTAAGCATGATGTCACATGGGACTTGCAACCTCATACTAGTTTCCCCAATGACTTTGCTTGTGGGAAGCAAAGGGAAGGTTATAAATGGTGATCATGTGACCATGGTCAGCTGACAGCTGCAACTTTGGGGACCAATCATAAGTCTTACTTTCCAGCTAAATTGTAACTTGGAACTTTGATTGGGTAAATGAAGATGATCTGTGCGGGACAGCCAGTAGAACTAACTACATAAGTTTATTTATAAATGCCTGCTAATCCTCACAGAATAGTCATGGATTAAAATGTATAGACCTCATAGAAGGTAATTTCCCATTTTACCCTTTTCCAATGATATCCAAAATTATGTATATTAATCTCTTTTTTGAAAATGCTTTACCTTTTATAATCCTTCTCTGCACTGTTAGGTTTGAAAGAGGTAGCATTGTAAGTAAATTGTATTTCTAGGAGAAAAGAAAAGAAAAAGAGAGAATGTCCCTATTTTCCCCACTGTTCATTCTTTGTTTCCTTTTTTTTCCTGAACACTTGTGGTGAATCAACTAAGACAAGTCAGAACGATACCACTTCTACTGCAGCCACTATCTGTACTCTTTGCAGATAAAGCCAAGATCTATATGTGTAGGTAATTAAATCAATACAAATAACTTTTGGGTGTCTTGATGGTAAGGGGAAAAAAAACTTTGAACTGATAAATTTGAAAACACAATTTGACAAGCTTATTTCTGCTATGGGCAAGGACAGTTTAAGTCTTTCAGAGATAAGGAGAGAGTGGGGAGAAAAAAAGGCTTTTGAATGTACTTGGCAAGAGAACTCCATCTTTTACTTTGTTTATTATGGCATCCTCAAAGGATAGGTAGTCTGAGACCGCAAGAAACTACAATTATTATTAATATATTTCCTTCCTTTAGAGGACTGCACCAAAGAAGAAATTATTAATATAATGAAATATAATATATAATGAAATATAATATATAATGAAATATAATATAATGAAATTCTAATAATGTAATATAATATGATGAAATAATAATAATATATGATGCAATGTGATGCGATGCTATGCGATGCTATGCAATGCAATGCAATGCAATGCAATGCAATGATATGCTATGCTATGAGTTGCAATGCAATGCAATGCAATGCAATGCAATGCTATGCTATGCTATGCTATGCTATGCTATGCTATGCTATGCTATNTAATCCATCCATTTCAAAAGGCTTGCATAAATTCCATCCATGAAGATAGCATTTAAAAAGTTAGATAACCACTGTCCAAAACCATTCTAAATTTAATTCCGCCGCTTGATTCTTCTGTTCTGCAATTTAGATTAATTGTAATTTTTTTATAGGCAGTCTCTTTTTAAAACAGTAAAAGTTCCTAACCAGCTGGAAACACTTTCTCTTTCCGTATCCTTCTGTTTTGGAGCTGCCCTGACTTTGTCAGCCTTGGCTGGATTTTTTGTTGCCGGCTTGAAGAACTTCTCTTGCCTCTTTCAGGGACTTTGCGATGTCCCTGAGGTCAGCAAGATGTATTCTTCCTGTTCACCATCTCTTTGGGACAGTTTAGGTCCGATTGGACCACCCAGTGGCAAAAGTATTGGCTGCGGTCTCGGAGCATCTAGACCGCACGTCCATATCGTTGCGACATTGGCTTCTCCCTCCCTCCAAGATTTTAGTTCTTGAATTTACCTAATCCACTGTGACTTATGAGATATAACTCTCATATTACAAATGGCAGCAAGTTCCTTAGTCTCAAAGTATATCAAATTTATCATATAAAAATTCCATTACTATGGAAAAAAGAATTATTAATGTCTTACCCTGCATGTACACGTAGTACAGTTGTCATACATAAAGGAGGCTCCATTGTCATAAACTTCACTATGAAAGAGACAGCTTCCAAACAGGAGATCAAATACTTTCCTCTGCCCTGCATATAAATAAGAGAAAGAGAATGCAGTTAAAAAGAAAGTGCATTGTAGCAAAATCTGAACCCCTTGAGGATAGCAATGGCTAAAATTTTTCTTTGCCTTCAGATGGTTGTCCACAATTTTGCATCCCAGAAACAGTAGTCTTAACTGAATGAAAAATAAAATTTTATGTTGTTATTTTTTAAATTAGTTATTCAAGAAGTTGCACTCCCTTAAAAAACTGGACAGCACCAAATTGGGGAAGACTGCTATAATTTTTATCCCCATATTAATTTAATTTTGTCACTATTTCTGACAATTGTTGACATTTCAAAATTGAAATAGCAGACATTGTATTGTTATAAGACATGGCACAGACAGCAAAAAGGGAAAAAAATGAATAGTTTCATTTTATTTGAGTTTAAGTTTCATTTTATTTATATGCCGCCCTATTCCCTATGGGACTCAGGGCGGTGCACAAATCCGAAGGAGGGGAAGG